TAACCTGGCTTGGGATAATTTATTTTATTGAAGGCTTCAATCACAAAAACACCACAAAAAATCAATACTGCATCAACATAAACAATATCAATGTTTTTTTAATACATGTAATCTTAATGTGCTCCATTTGTGTGTATAGGGACAAAAGGCTAAGGCATCATCTTGCACAAAGGTACGACTCCCGCAGAGGAGTTTTTGATTGGGACTATCACATGAAGCTTCAAGAAATGGTACTAAACATTATACAATCATACAACTTACTACACTGCTCAATTCCCAAATAGGTCCCATTGATACGCAATGATGAGTATATACAATGGAGAGAGGAAGGAGTAGCCTTTCACCTGCGTGATGATGCTCCTTACGACATCAGTAACCGTACGCTTGCTAATGGTGCTCTCCTTCACAATAGAGATGGAGATCTTGTTGGTCAACGTGGATATTGGGGAGACGTTGTGACCAGTCCCTTCATTGCATTTGGAAGCTATTGTGATGATGAGAGGATGTTGAAGAAAGCAAATGATAAATACGTGAAAGTAAATGTGTCACTAGATAATTAATTTTATATCTTTCCTTATCTTTCTTCTCTATCAGAGCTCACAGGAGATTAGTCAACATAATGTATACTCTATGTTTGAATTACTTTTCACTGGGACCAGCTCTTCTTCCTCTAATCCTGACTCAGGCATTGAAGAAATAACTAATGACACTATTGGTCGTTTGATTGATGGTACATATAATTGAATTTTGTATAAGCAATTTTAGATTTTATGTGAAAATGTTCTTCCTTTTGGTTTGGTCTTTATCCATTGCATAGCCAATTAGGCTGGGTTTACACAGCAAGGCAAAAGATACACTTTGAACACCTTTGTTTCCATAGAGTTCTATCAAGATTTTATCAGGTTTTATTCCTTTCCATGTAAACTGAAGCGTAAAACAGGCACAAAACTATACTGACTGCATCATTTTTGTTGCTGTGTAAAGATAGCCTAACAACCTTACAACACCTTACTACAACACCTAGTTTCTAT